ACACCCAGTCCAAATTCTACCAGCATCTTCACACAGTGGGACTCTAGGAATGGTGACTTCATCTTGTTTTCCAAGCTAAAAATTGGTGAAGTAGCTGACCTCCATACCCTGGGAACAGGCCTATTGGTTATATACCCTGGAAACAGGAATATCTGAAATCTGGATTCTTCCTAGAAAAAATGATTAATGGGTATTGAAACAGGAGCTCTGTGGCAGAAAATAGGAAGAAAAGAAAAGCAGAAACACTCACTGTTTTTCCCTCGGTCAGGACCTGGACGGTAGTGATGCTTGCCTTCCTGTGGGCTCTTGGTCCTGCTCTGTGCATGCCTTACTCTGCAGGAAGGAAGTTCTCAGAAGCAGACTCAAAATGAACCGTGAGCTCAGAAAGGCTGCAATCCTCTGTATCTTCAAAGAGACTGGGTTATTTTTTCTGGACTTTTATGGAGTAGTTTTAGAACTTCAGAAAAATGTAACTAAAAGTAAGCAAATTCCTGTGCAGTGCCTTGTTGCACCCCTACGTTACAGTGCCTCCCACAGCACCGACTCCCAAATTCCTTGTTACTAACTTGATTTTGCTTTTTGAGATGGTTTCACTGTATTAACCGAGGCTGATCTAGAACTCTTGACCTTCCTGCCCCGACCTTCTGCACACTGGGTTCCAGGCATGCCCCACCCTTCCTGGTTTAGCATCTTGAATTAGTGTTGTGTGTCTGTTATCACTGATAGCCCAACATTGACACATTATTAACTAAAAGCCAGAGTCTACACTGGGTTTCTTTGTCTGCATCACAGTATCATGTAGAATAGTGTCACTAACGTAAATCCTCATATTCTACTGTGGGTTCCTTCTTCCCCCAAATACTCGGTAACCACAAACCTTTCCACCCTGTCTAGTTATAGTTGCATGTTATGAAGCCATTTTAGGCTGACTTCTTTCACTAAGCATTGATGGTTTTTTGTGTGTTTCTTTTGTGTGTGTTGTAATTTACTAACATTCTTTTCACTGATCAAGTCTGTGTTCCCCTGTGTATATACATAGGTATGCAGACACATACAGATATAGATATCAAGGAAATGATACTAATTAAATCTTGAATAGATAAAAGTTGAGATTTTTTATTTTTAATTTATATTCATTGATGTTTTGCCTGTGAGGGTGTCAGATCCCCTGGAACTGGAGTTACAGACAGTTGTGAGCTGCCATGTGGATACTAGGAATTTAGCCCAGGTCCTCTGGAAGAGCAGACAGTGCTATTAACTACGCAGCCATCTTGCCTACAAGTTCAGATGTTATTAAACACAGGACAGCACTGGAGGACTCTCTGAAGACAGCCTTGCTTCAGAATCTGAGTGCCTAACACCTGTCAATGGTCTCCCATTCTATAGTGCCTTTCGTCTTACTTCAACACGCAGAACCTTGGCGCATTTTATTTAAAATGTGGAGCGTTTTAGGTTTTTTTGTTTCTCACTGCCTCATTTACTCATAGGACTTGGTTTGGCAAGATCCAGAGGGTATTTCTGTGAAGCCAGGTGTGGGTAAAACAAGGGACCTTTATCATTGGCATTGTGTGTATTAGGGGTGGTGCTGTGTGGAGGTCAGAGGACAACTGAAGAGTGGACTCTTGCCTTCCACCATGTGGTTCCTGGGGAACAAGCTCGGGCTGGCAGGCCTGGCCTATGTTATCTTTTGCACACTGTACTTCTATAAAACAGAAAGAAGGCAACACTGCATTATTCTCCTGGGAATTCTCAGGCAACTATGAAATGTAAAGTTATTTCCACTTCAGTATCTGTCTCTCCCTTTCTCTCTCTCTCTCTCTCCCTCTCTCTCTCTCTCTCTCTCTCTCTCTCTCTCTCTCTCTCTCTCTCACACACACACACACACACACACACACACATGCACAGCTGAGCAAGGAAAAGGAAAAATAAGTAGCTTCAGAAGAGAAAAATTGCCTCCTGTTTTACCAAAGTGGTCACTAGTGTAGATAATGTTTCATGCTGAATTTGACCTTAGAAACTGGAGTGTTGGTTGCTAGTAATGAAAATACATTTTTTGTTTTATTTTAAAATAAAAATCACTTAACTAACAAAAACATCATAGCCAGGGGTTAAGTTAGCCACTCAGGCACACACTTGTCCAGTCCTAAACTGTATACACCCCCAGCAAACTCCTCTACAGTTAAAATAAAATACTTAATCGATTATGAAGTGTTGCCTATCTTTAAAAGCTAATCATGCACAAATCATGTTAAAATGATACTGGCTTTGAATTCAGTGTTTACTTTTTTTCTTTTAAAAGATGGTGAAAAGGCGGATATTTCTGTGAACATGTATGAAGATATCAACATTATCACTGGTGCACTTAAACTGTACTTCAGGGATCTGCCAATTCCTCTCATCACGTATGATGCCTACCCCAAGTTCATAGAGTCTGCCAGTAAGTACAAGCGTGTGAGTCCCCCACTCAGTGCGCTGCCTCTCCCCAGTAACCACGTTTCCTGCCCTTCATTCCCTGCAGCTCTCTCCATGGTCCAGTCCATGTGTCTGCAAGACTTACATTTCTCTAGCCCAGATTATCCATGCCTTCTACCCTTAGTTTTGTACTGTGCTGCTTTTCCAAAATAATCTGTACCGTACTGCTTGGACGTTGACCAGCATCCAGTAAGATAAACCCAAGGTCGGAACAAGACTACAGCCTTGTTTGATTCAGCAGACATTCCTGTGAGTTTCGGTACTTACCCTGAGTGTGCAGTCCCTCAGAGCTCACAGACTACCTGTGGCTCATCAGTGTGCTGCCGGGAACATGGCTCTGCATCATCGAGGAGTTTGTTTGGTTTTGCTTTGTTTTCAGAATTAAGAAACTGAACTCAGGCCTCAGCCAGAGTTTTGGTTTTTCCTTTTTTAATTCTAGTTGAGAAGAAATGGCTCATTTGCAAAATTGTGTTTCAAAATTCATACCTGTAATTCACATCTTATCCTTTAAAGAAGGGAAGTCTTAGCAGACTTAGGTGTTGACATCACTTTTTTTTAAGGAAAGAGAGTCTATTCCTGTCAGTTTGTTTCTGTCTGTAAACCCATATGTCCTCCCTTTAAATAATAGCATCACTTCCTTAGTAATGTAGTGATTCCTCTGCTTTGCTTCTTCACGTGGACTTTCACAGAGCTGTGGTATCCTTTTTTCTCAGTCCATCTTGACTAGAAGTTAGAAGATGTGGGTGGGATTAACTTCTCCCATCTCAGGATGGACTCGGTGCTGGCCGTGGTTGTCCAGGGAGTTTGCAGGCAGTCCTCAGTGGTGGTCCCAGACTGGAAGCATGTCCCCTGCAGAGGGCTACTCACCCACCCAGCTTACACGGCCCTGACAGTAGCTGGGTAGCTGGCTGCTTCTGTTGCTGTGCCACTGGAGATTAGAGTGCACCCTGGCTCTGCATATGAGCCAAGGCAGGACAGCAGTGACTCACCCAGCCTGGCTCTGAACCACACACCCCATCTGGAAACACCCAAGCCTCTTGTCGGATCCTGAGGCTTTGGGCTCCACGTTCTCTCACCTTCCTTCCCACCCCACTTTGACTGCCCAGGAACATCTTTCCCTTTGTTTTTCTTCCAAACCAATTGCCATTGCTGTGGGATTTGTTTCAGAAACCTTCCTTTCTGAAATCAGCAAACTCCCTTGTCCCCCAAATGGAGAGGAAAAAAATGTCTCCTTTATAATCTAAAGTGGTAAGTGATTTGTGTGACACCAAAGCCCCTGCTACCCTCCCTGTGCTTCCTGTAAATGAACGGTTCCTGTTTGATGCTGATGGCCGTGAACATAGTGTCCTTTCCCACTGGAGTCGGCTTCTTGCTTTAGGTTTCCACCCCCCAGAAATCTCTGGTATTGTTTACCATGCTTTCACAGCAGAGATCAGTTAGGGTAAAGCTTTTTTCTGCAAAATCTAGTGGAGCTGTGCTGTAACAGCTTTCCCCCAACTCCAGCGTGACAGCTGACGTGAGAGGCTGAGGGCAGGAGATGGATGCTAGTGTGGCGGAGCCAGATGGCCCTGCCTCTGCAGGCTGCACAGCCTCTGTAGCCCCCCTCCAATGTCCCCTGAAGTCTGAGGCTGCCACCCCTTCTTTCCTCTCTTCCCCAGTGGAGACTCTGTTGCTCTAGAACAGAGCCCCAGAGGCAGGCTTTACTACAGGGTCTTGTCAGAAGCCAGCATCCGTGAGCACGCTCTAACCATGGTGGAAACCATGTGGGGACTGTCCCCAGCCCAGGAGTCGGAGCACTTTCTTCCAGATCTTAGACAGTCACATCTCTTCCTAAGTGTGCAGCCTTGGATGAGCCCGGCAGGGAGAACTTTCTGGGTTTTCTCTACTGAACTTCTCTGTAGAGAATTAACAATACTTGCTCCAGATGCACCTTAATTAGCTCTCGACCCAGGCCCAAGTGCTTACTTCCTAGCCCTCAGTATCCACACTTTCCAGGACCATCCTTCCTGGTCCTTCTCCAGCCCCCAGCATGCATTCCTTCTCTTTTCATTACTTCCCCACCTGGGCCTCATTCCCATGGGGCAGGTGGTGCCATGTCTTGGTTTCCTTGCTGCACTGGCATCTCTTCAGGACGTGCTTGCTGTCTCAGGTGTTACTCTCCTCAGGCCTGGGTAGTCCCTCATTTAAGTAGTAGTTAGGTGTTAAATATTTATTGACTATTAAGCTTGGAATTTTGCCTGGAGATGCACAGACTTAAGTCATTAAATAAATATTCTAAGCAATTATATAGCTAGACTTTTTCCTTTAATTCATTGTTTAGTTTGGAGGTTGGGTTAGTTGGTTGGTTTCCTGGTTTGGGTTTGGGTTTATTTGTTTGTTGAGTCAGGGTTTCTCTGTGTGGCCCTGGATGTCCTGGAACTCACCCTGGCTGATCACGAACTCAGATTTATCTTCCTCTGCTTCCTGAGTGCTGGGATTAAAGGCACTGCCCGGCTTCAATCTTGTCTTGAAACCACCAGTAACTGCGCTCTTGCTGCTTTTCTGTAGACAGCCAGGCCACTGATGGTGAACGGGTGTGACAATCATGAAACCCACTTGTGTCCAGAGAAACTTGCCTGCCGCGATGCCCTCCTGTCCCCCACATGCCGTGTTGTCTATATTTGATGACCGCTATTCGGATGATACCCAGTTGTCTCTGAACACCTTCCATTTTTCATGCTTGTCTCTTAAATTACACTGTAACAGTCTTGGAACTAAAAGTTTCGTTCTCTAGAAAATTGACGATGGGCAATACTTGTGTGCATGGGAGAATGGGGGAGGGGTGATGTCCAGGGGAGATTCTCTGGTCAGTTTGATGTCAGGTATTCAGTACATTTTACCGTGTTCCAAACTGGAACCAGTTGGAAATACAAGGGGAGGTTCATCCAACAACAGCAACAGCAGATTCATCCAGGTCAGCACACTGATTTGTCTATCTGAAAATCTCAGATAGCACTACCCCCAGACCTCCCTCCCTCCCAGCTGTCTGCATCCAAACCTTGATCGTTCCTTGTTCTCACGTTTTTCTTACACATTCCCCATCAGGAACTCTTATGGACTCTACCTTCGAAATATACTCAGAATAAAACAGTCTCTCATCTTTCACACTGCTGTCATCTCCCACTGCTGTCGCGACCCCTGGGCTCTGTGTTAGCTGCTGGATGGTGTTTCTGTCGTTATCCGTGCCCTTCTGTAGTTTGCGTTCTGCATGGCGGCTAGAGGAAGGGAACCATAGAAAATGAATGTTCGTGCCAGTGTGAGGGTCAGTGGGTAAAAGGCACTTGCCACCACATGCCCATGTGGTAGAGAGAACTCACCTCCACACACATGCCATGCGTACTCACACACACGCATAAATAAATGCCCTCCTCCTCCATCCTTCACTCCTCTGAGGCTGTACTCAAGACCTCTCCTTCACACTGAGCTTGTTCCTGACCTTTAAAATCCAGGCACCCGGCACTTGCAGCCTTAGGGCTGTCTCACCGTACCTGCCTCATCCCTGTGGAGTCTGTGCAGCGGTGTTGGCCTCCATCTTCACTGTCCGCCCTCCCGGAGGAGCTAAACTCCCCTGAGCTGCACACCAGTGCTCTCTGCAGCCTCCACTGCCTCAAGCTTCTCCTAGTCGAGATGAATTGTATAAATTAAAAAGGGAAATCTGCTTTTAATTTCTTAAATCATGTAGTTTCAAATTAATTTAGCCCTATTCTAAGAGCTAGCTTTCCACAGTAAACAGAATTTCCTTTTCTTTATTCTAGAAATTTAATTACTGAATTTCAGTGTCTGAGAAAATAGCTGTGTTATGAGCAGATACCCTTTAAAGTCCCCACGGTTTGGAGGTCATGCATTGTCTGTCATGACAAAAGGCAAAGAACACATTCTTTGTTATAAAGAAATGAAGCAGGGATGGAGGAAGCTTTGGACCAAAGCTGCGAAGCAGTCAAAGTTGTTTTGAACTAAAAAGCTCCCATCACTATCACTCTGAGAATCATCTGGCCTGCTCAGCCTTTGTTCTTCACTGGCCTTTACTGGGCCTGTTGTACAGAGCATACACGGTGTACACGGGATACACGGTATACAGGGTATACGTTGTCCTCAAGCTGGGCTGTGGATACAAGCGAGACCAGAGTTGAGCTCTCCATCTGAAACAGACAGAAGTCTCCTGGGCAGGTGGAACCTTCCCAGCACTTCAAGGACTCCATTGTGAGGTTGAGAGCAGCGTTTACAGCACTCCTTGTAAGCAGATGAGAATGCGCTGTGGTGCTTCTTCAAGAGCACAGAGTTGCAGTAGCTTCAGCTGTTGGTGATACAGGGGTGACTGATAGATCGAGCAGAGTTGCCACAGTAACAGCCTGGTGTCTGAGCCTTCAGTGCAGACCTGCGGTCCAAATGGAGGTCTTCCCTTCATAGTGGACTCCTTTGGAAGAACCCCCTTCTCCTAGTACTCCACCATGGCATAGCACACTTAGAACTGCCTGCTGTGTGTTCTTCAGAGCGTAGTCTCAGAAATGGGGAGTCCTCATGTTTTGAAGGGAGACTTCATTTTGTTATTTATCACACAATATAATAACTACAGCAAACAGATGTTAGGTGAGATATTCTTGGCTTAGAAAAATGAAGGGCTGGGGTATTGCTCTGTGGTAGAGTACTTGCCTAGTATTTATGAGGCATGGGTTCTGCCCTTACCACTGCAAAGCAAAACAATGTCATTATTAAAAAAAAGAAGAAGAAAAGATTATCAGTAAGGTTTTTGCCAGGAGTCACAAGAGGCCGTGGATTAGCTTGTCTTGTGTACTATGGTGGTGGTGGGGTCCAAAATATTTTGAGCAATATGTATGTCTATAATGTTCTCAGATGAACTCATTAGAGTATACAGGCTTTCTCTGTGTGTCTACATGTGTCTGGATTGGTCAGTTACATTCCAAATCTCTAGTGAGTCCATTTTCTTCAGTTGCTCACCCAAGACCTGCAAGTGGGGAAAAGCAACCCTGCTCCCACATTGAACTAGGATAGCATTGGACAGGTTTTTTTTTTGTTTTTTTGTTTTGTTTTGTTTTTTGTTGTTGTTGTTCTGAGAGAAATAATTTTCACTTGCTTTACAAAAGCATGGAAGAATGTTCCATAAACATTCCCATCCGTTTTCCACTAGTGCATCTCTCCTTGCTGTTGTAGAAATCATGGACCCTGACGAGCAGCTGGAGACCCTTCATGAAGCACTGAGACAGCTGCCGCCTGCCCACTGCGAGACCCTCCGGTACCTCATGGCCCATCTGAAGAGGCAAGTGCAGCCTGTAGCTTACTGCTGTATTACAGCCAAATTTCAAGAATAAAATTAAGCAAAAGGTGAAAGAGAGGACATGTTCTCTTGAGTGAACGCGTAGGTGCTTTAGCAGCATTGTCTTGTGAGAAATTGCGTTAGCTGGTAAAGGGTGCTAAAAATATTGTACCCTGCAGTACCCTGGCATCCATGCCATGCCCTTCTAGGACCTGCTTGTAAGGATGCTCATGTTCTGCAGACACTGGTGAGTGTTTTGTCGGAGGGAGAGGGCTGCTGCCATCAGTTTGTGGGGCAGCTCACTTTATTCTTAGCTCATCACTCCAAGTAAGCACTTGAAGCTTGGGAGGGGATTTTAGACTACTTTACTGCCCTGACCAACACGGGAAAGTGGCACAGACAGTGATGGAGTCGGGAGGAATGCTTCCCGTTAAGAGTTTTAAGCTATTTTATGATTGATGGTGATCAATCTCTACCAGCTGAAACAAAAATTCACAGTTATATGACATCAATAGATTTAGGGCCTCAAACTCAATTAGAAACACAAATTCTAAATGCACCAAAGCATGCATTGTCCAGGAGCACATGTACATCTCAGACACTCGTGGATACCTGCCCCTTTCTTCTTTTTTTCTTCCTCCTCTTCCTTCTTGTCTTTGATTTTTGAGGCAGTGTCTTGCTGTGTGACCCTGGCTGACCTGTGACTTACTATATAGGCCAGGTTCATCTCCACCTCACAGAGATCTGCCTGCCTCACCTCTATTGTGTTGGGATTAAAGGTGTGCGCCGCCACGCCAGCTCTTTCCCTCTTAAAGGCACTGTGAGTGAGTTCATGGTGTGCTCACAGCTCATGCCATTGTCAATTAAAGTCGGCTTCATATTTGACTTTAGTTCTGGGTTCTATAATAGGAGCCACTCTCTAAGACGGTCTGTTCTGATGCTGTAAGGTGCCAGGAAGAGAGACAGACCCAAGAATGTCCAGACTGTAGGCCACTCCTCCCTGCCCTCACAGCTACTGTCCTAGACACTCAACCTCACTTTGCAGAAAGGTCCAAGGGGAGCCAGAGAGCCAAGGAAGGGGAGGGCAGACCTCTTCTCCCTCCCCTTCCCCCTCAAGTATCTGAACCCACACAGTCCGACTTTAAATTCTTTTTCAGCATGACCTACTTCAGAAGAAGTCACATTCCTTGAAGCTTCTGAGAAGCAGAGGAAAGTAGCTTGGGAGAGCTGGCCAGTAGCCGCAGACTTTGACATGACTCTGGCTTTCATCTGGGTGCTCGGACTTGATGGAGCCCCTACGTCACTGAAGTCATCTGTCTTTCCCCTGTGTTTTCAGAGTGACCCTTCACGAGAAGGAGAACCTGATGAGTGCAGAGAACCTTGGGATCGTGTTTGGGCCAACCCTCATGAGGTCCCCAGAGCTAGACCCGATGGCCGCCCTGAACGACATTCGCTATCAGAGACTGGTGGTGGAGCTGCTCATCAAAAACGAAGACATTTTATTTTAGAGAAATGTTTTACAGATGAAGGAATGTTTTCTAGTAATTTAATTAGCTTCACTAGCTGAATTGTTTCTTGGTTAAAGGTTTAGCCAAACACCCAGATTAAATGAAGGAACTTCTTGTCATTTCTGTAGCACCACTCAGCTGTCCCTGTAAAACCGTGAACACACGCTTTCCGGTCTGGAAATCCTGGGTGTTTATCATGTTAAGAGAAACTCAGGCTCCTGCATGATCCCCTGTTTGATGAGGAAACCCCACATCAAGGAATCTCAGACTTGAACCTGCACCGCCTCTGTCCTGGGTTTTCTGTGGTTGTCGCCCAGCATGCTTCCCAGAGTAAACTGTCATGACTTTGCTTTTGGGGTCCATGCCATCGGTTTCTGACGCTTGCACACTCGCGCACACACGCATAGGCAGCGCCCTGGCTGTTGCAGCACACCACTGTGCTTTCCACCCACCCCACACTCGGTTCCTCCCCAGCTCTCTCCTCTCTACCATAGTGCTTTCTCTCCAGCAAAGCAAGATGTTTGCGGATCTGCCACTTCAGTAAGCTACCCTACCAATAAAGTGCACCACACAGCGTTTTCTGTTAAATTATTGGTTTTCGGCTGTAAATTTATATTTTTACCTGGCATGCAGTTGTTAATTTATTAAATTTGGCTTTTAGAAATCAAAACTACTCATAGCTTTTTTTTCTTGCCATGGGGAGAATAGTTAGAAAGTTGTATTTGACATTTAGTTAGCACCAATTGCTTCCCTTCCCCTGCCTGTTGGTCACTAAGGGATTATGGTAATCTCCTAAAATAATTTATACTGCCTAGAATCAACATTCATTTATTGGATTTATTGTTTCTTCTGTTACTCTGGCAGAAGTCTGTAATGTTTTCTCCACTTTGGGGTCAGTTTTCCTCGAGTTTCCTAAGGTGAACATGGCTCCCTGTCTGAAGCAGCTGGGGCCATGTGCATGAAGCTTTAACACACAGCTGAGCAAATGCCAAGGCAGCTTGTCAGAGGGTCTGCACTGGATACCGAGAGTCCCATCCGTGCCGACTGCCACCAGTCAGCCGTGTGGCTGTGAGAAGACAGCCGTCTCCTCCTCTCTTGGTCTGTGAGATGAACACCCACATAGAGCTGAGCTTCCATCTGCCTTAGACACTAAAACAAAATTTGTGTGGTAATTCACACCTGTAATCCAGCACTTGGGAGGAGAAAGTGGGAGGTTCGAGTTCAGGGCCAGCCTCAGGTCCCTGAGACTCTCTCAAGCCAACACTCAGTGGAACAGCTGGGCGCAGCAGTGTATTATGGGGAGGTTGAAGGAGGAGCAGCATTTGAGTCCAAGAGTTCAAGACCAGCCCAGGCAACGTGGTGAAATAAATAAATAAAAGGTGAAAATGAAATACGTTCCTGAGCTATCAAGTCTGCCTCAGAGCGGTGGGAGCTGATGGAAGCGCAAGGCTTTCTCACTCCATGCTTCCTCCCCTGGGCTGTAGTGGGCACGGGCAGTTTGCCCTTTCACTACTGTTCACATTGAGGGAAAGTGTGCCTACCCAGCTGTCTTTTAACCAGTGTCCGATGACAGATGTCACCACACTGGGATGTGAGATTCCCCTCTCTATGCTGTGAATTCTTATTGGTTAATAAAGAATCTGTCTTGGTTCTGGCAGGGCAGAACAGAGGTAGGTGGGGAAAACTAATCTGAATGCTGGGAGAAAGAAGGCGGAGTCAGGAGAAGCCATGTAGCCCTGCTGGAGACAGATGCCAGAACTTTACCCAGTAAGCCATAACCTTGTGGCAATACACAGATTAATGGAGATGGGTTAATTTAAGATATGAGTTAGCCAGAAATATGCTTAAGCTATTGGCCAAACAGTATTGCAAATAAAATGGTTTCTGTGTGATTATTTCGGGGCTGAGAAGTCGGAACGAAACAAGCAGCCTCCTACAGCAACACTGAGCAGTGTCTAGCAGAACACACAGATTGGTTAGGTATAGAGTAAATCGTCTTCAAAGTGGAAGCAAATTGCAGGGTGGGTGATGAGCTCAGCAGAATCCTCTTCACCTAGCATGTGTGGAGAATTTGAATAGCTTCACTGAAAACTAATGGTAAAAGTTACAGCCATGAAGCTCATCCATATTTAAGCACACATCTCATAGATCAGAGCCTTTTATTTTTTCTTTTTTTAAAAAAAAAAAAAACACTGTCAAGGCATCTAAAAGAGCTGACAGGCTTCCTGGATTTTGAGGCAGGATCTCTACCCAGTCTGGCATGGGACTTAACTATGTAGCAAGCAAAACTCAAACTTCCAGCAATCCTCCTGCCTCAGTCCTCTAAGTGCTGGGATTATAGGTATGAGTCACATGTCAGGCTTACAGTATCTTTTAATTACCCTAAATTGTCAGATCCAGTTTTCTCTTTCAAAAATTGTTTGCCCAATTTTTTTTGTTATTGATGGAGGTGTTGTGGCCCAAGGCTCCGAATCAACCCAAGCAGACACCAGCGGTTACCGCAAGGCAAGATTTAATGCAGAGCCGCACAAAAGGAGTGAGAGAGGGGAGGGGGCTGATTGACCAGCGCTGCAGAACAGAGCTGAGCTGAACCCTGGATGCCAGCTGAAACAAGTATTTAAGCACACAAATGACAAGCATTTGTTGCCAAGTTACAGTTAAAATTTTCTCCAATCAGGACTTAGAGATTAGGGGCTTCCTTGAATGTTCAGTTCCATCATTGCCAACGGACATACAGTGAAAGCTCTTCAGTTCAGTCACTGGATTCATTTGTTCCTTCTGCTGTTAGAAATAGCCGTAATGTTTCTAGAGAACTAGAGATGCCTAACGGCTTTCCCTGTCGTTTAGGGAGGAGGTGGGTCAGCCATTGGAAGGTTCCCAGCTCCCCCAGGGCCTACGAACCTGAACTTCGTTTCACCCTGCAGGTAAAATGTTAGTCTGAGGTCAAAATGGCAGGACAGGGTGCTTTTTGCCTGCTCCAAACATGATCATTTGAGTAAGACACACTATTGCAGATGCTTGCTGTGGCTTAATGTATGGATGGGTCCCCTCAGTTCCTTGTAATTCATTTGTAATCCATTTGGCATGGTCCTCTGGTCTTTGGTTTTTCCTATAAACTGAAAGTTGGGTGAGGCTTTGACCTTCCTACCTCCCGATTTAGAGACAGAGACTCAACTTGTGGCTTGAACAACCTTCCTGCCTCAACCTTCTGAGTAGCGGGGACATGCAGCATGTGGGCCACCATAAGAAACAGCTTTCTGAGAAGAACCTTCACCCTTGAGTTGAACTGGTGTGGGTGTTGGCAATCCCTGGGTTTTTATTTATGTACATGGGTGTTCTGCCTGTGTGAATATCTGTGTACGTGTGTGCCTGGTGCCCATGGAGACCAGAGATGGCATTGGCTCCCCTGGAACTGGAGTTATAGATGGTTGTGAGCTATCCTGTGGATGCTAGGAATCAAACCCAGGTCCTTTGCAAGAACAGCCAATGTTCTTAACCCCTGAGCCATCTCTCCAGCCCTCCGAATCTTTTGTTCTACAGAGCCTCAAATGTGCCTTTGTTGTTCCATTTCAGAATTGCTAACCTGACTCCTTGAGGATCCACAGATTTGTCTCTCTCAGTCACACCAAGTATCAGAGAGGTACTGTGAGGTTAATGGAGATTTTCACTGAGCAGAGTCTCGGAGCCCCGAGGCTGGTGTCTCCATCCTATAGCCCAGATTACAGAAATGCCCTGGCCCTGTGAGTGTAGGACTGAGGGAATGGCAGCAGGCTGAAGACACTGGGGCTTAGAGTTGCTGACAGTAGCTACCTCATATTCCAGGCCGCTGCTACAGGAGGGTCTGAAATGCAGGTTTACCTGTGCCATTGCTACTGCGCTGAGTCTGCTCACTCCCACTCCCCAGAACCAAGTGTTCCCCCTACTGCTGCAGGAGACCCCCCTCTGGAAAGCCAGCTCCTCACAGCATAGCTCGCAGCAGCCAAAACCTGTTAAATTCTTCCTGTAACTTCCTTCGCACGTAAAACAAAGCCACACTCCTTGTCATGGCTGACAAGGCCTGCTGGGCTGGACCCACCCACGCCTACTTCTCTAACCATGTCATACTCATCTTCATCGCCTGAACAACTTGGGCAGCAATTTTCCAGGCCCCAATCCGAATTCCTGAGGTAAAGCCTGGAGTAGGGCCCAAGGCCTCTATTTCTAAGCGCGTGTAGATGATGCAACACCTACAAGGGTCCCAGGATCCCACTCTGGGAGCCGCTGGCCTGGGGTTTCTAGAGCATCACTGCCCACTAGACCACCACAGGTCAATGAAACCCAAGGGTATGTTGGTAAGGCTTGGGCAGACGGCCCAGGTCAGTCTGTAGTCCCTTTTGCTAATTGTAGCGACTTCATTTCCTCTGGGTGTGTTACAATGCACTAGGAATTTGCTTCAAGTAGAATCAAATAGCAGTCGTGGGAGAAACAGTTATCACAGCGTTTCTGCACAAAGAAACAGGAGGCAGGGCACAGCCAGGCACATAGGGCCTCATGGGGAGGAAGTCAGTGGCTAGAAAGCCTAAGGGCTGGGCCTGGGCCAGAGCCTTTACCTGATTCAAGTCAAGGTCTTGCCAGTAGAATAGCGTCCTAGGCTAGGCGGTGGCCCCGTGGTGTTAATCCCTGTTCCCACCTGGTCTGGTGATTTAGTGTAAGAACACTAACTTGATGGCAGGGGGTGTTGGCTCTGGATTGCTTTGGCATCTCAAAGGGGAGTCCTTTGCGCTCTCTAGAAATTGGCTAGATATGAGAGGGCACTCTCCAAGATATGGAAAATATAGAAAATAATGAAGTTAATTAGTCTGAAGTCCTTGCTTTTCTCCAATGTCACTTCCCTGTTTCTGACCCACAGCTGACTCTGTCCTTAATCCAGTCTTTTTTTTCTTATTCTTCTCATTAGTTGTTTGGATAGGAGTGTGCTATACATTTTCCCCCAACTCCCTTTCTCCTCTCCCCCTCGATATGTTCTTATTCACATTTGATTCTAAATTGCAGAACTCACTAAATACAAAGTGGGTGCTAAGTCAGAAAAAGGGAACGAGAGTTCATTAAACCCTATAGACATCAGAATGAATCACATAAACACCTACTTGTTACTTAAAACCCTTTATTAGGAGACTAGGGAGGATCCCTAGAAACCGCTGAAGGACGTATTTATGTAACAGGACTTAAGCTCAAGGCCCTGATACCACAACAGTGGTTTGTGTTAGAGGTGATCAATAGCTTCAGAATTCTTCATTCCCTGGCTGAGACTAAAAGTTCATGGGAGTTGAAACTGTGGATTGTCCTGCGAGCTTTCTGGTGGAACTTGTAAGCTGGTACCCCAAACACTGCTGCTTCACAAGTGAGTCAGTATATCTTCTGCCCTTGGCACAGGGTTGTGTGCCAGTTAGGGTTAGGACATACTCAAAAGTTGCTTCAGACTAAGGTCCCCTGAAAATTGACTTTTTAAGTTACAAGGCAGGAAGGGAGAGAAGAAAGAAAGAAGAAAGGAAGGAAGAAGACAAAGACTGGCTGATCTGGGCTGTTGAAGACAGATTTCTTCTCTCTTCTCTCTGGTTTGCCCCTAGCTTCCCAGGTTTCATAGTTAGCCGTCTGCAGAGGAAGCTAGGAGCTTCCACATTGCAAACTCAT